CAGAAGTTGCCATGAGCCAAAATCGTGCTGCTGCACTCCAGCCTGGGCAACAGAGTGAGACATGGTCTCAAAAAACTAAAGTAAAAAAATAATAAATCAATGTCTATAAACATAAACCCACTATAAATTAATTTACAGCTGTATGTCAATATAAAACCATAAGTTTATAATTTTACCTATAATACAAACCAAAAAGTCAAATTAACATTTATGTTACTTATTTTTTTTTTTTTTTGAGAGAGTCTCACTCTGTCGTCCAGGCTGGAGTGCAGTGGCGTGATCACGGCTCACTGCAACCTCTGCCTCCTGGGTTCAAGTGACTATCACGTCTTAGCCTCCCATGTAGCTGGGATTACAGGCTTGTGCCACCACGCCGAGCTAATTTTTATATTTTTTGTAGAGACAGGGTTTTGCCATGTTGTCCTGGGGTCTCGAACTCCTGGCCTCGAGTGATCTGCCTACCACAACCTCTCAAAGTGACTTTCTTAAGTTTTTTTTTTTTTTTTTTGAGATGGAGTCTTTCTTTGTCACCCAGGCTGGAGTGCAGTGGTGCGATCTCAATTCACTGCAGCCTCCGCCTCCCGGGTTCAAGTGATTCTCCTGCCTCAGCCTCCTGAGTATGTGGGATTACAGGCCTGTGCCACCACACTTGGCTAATTTTTGTATTTTTAGTAGAGACAACTTCCACCATGTTGGTCAGGCTAGTCTCGAACTCCTGACCTTGTGATCCACCTGCCTCAGCCTCCCAAAGTTTTGGGGTTACAGGCATGAGCCACTGCACCCAGCCTCTTTTCAGGGGGGACTAACATGCAACTCTTACGACGCCAAAGTGAGTACCCATAGGGAGCCGCCCTCCCCCAGGTCTCAAGTGATTCTCCTTCGCGGCTTGATACAGTCACCGACGTAGGGCCATTATCTATAGCGTAGCCACCAAACGTAGACTAATTTTGTATTTTAACTAGCAGGACGGGGTTCACACCATGGTTGGCCAGGCGGTCTCGAACTTCTGACTCAGGTGATCCGCCTGCCTCCAGCCTCCCCAAAGTGCTCCGGGATTTTACAGGTGTGGGCCACCGTGCTGGCCAACTTCTTTTTTAAAACTGTATTAGCCATCCTGGCTAACACGGTGAAACCCCGTCTCTATTAAAAATACAAAAAATAGCCGGGTGGATGGCGGGCGCCTGTAGATCCCAGCTACCGGGAGCTCGAGGCAGGAGAACGGCGTCGCAACCCGGAGGCGGAGCTTGCAGTGAGCCGAGATCCGGCCACTGCACTCCAGCCTGGGCAGCAGAGCAAGACTCCGTCTCAAAAAAAAAA